GATTGGACATTTTTTCGTTCTGCTGTGCATGGGGTCTCTATGAGTCGGTTCCGACTCGATGGCACCTGACAACAACAACAACAACAACATAAGTTTACAAGACTAAAAAGTGACTTTCCTGAGCCAGTATAGCAACACTTTGGCAGTGATCATTTCTTTCTTTCATTTTTTGACACTGTTTTTTCCCTTGAAGTTCCCTCTACTTATATTTATAGTATATAATTTTTTGTGCTATGTAGTTTTTATAATACCTTAAAAATATCCATTTCCTTTTGTCATAATCCTGTGCCTCAAACATTTCTTGTCAGTTTATTTACAATAAATTTTCAAAATAAATATTAACCTATGCTCAGTATAATTTTTCTTTTAGTTAATTTGCCTATGAATTAAAGATATCATTAGCATCCATTTGGTAAAATTATTACAAGTTATCAATGAGTCAGGCATTTCAAAACCTGAGAATTAGAATAATGATACTAAATTCCTTCAATTCTATGTAACTAGAGAAAAATAAACTCTAAATTTTGATCATGTAAACAGTCCTAAAATCTCCTTGGGTTTGTAATTGTTGAAGAGCTTAACTTATTTGTGTTTTCTTTATTTTCCTTCACCAGTTTCAATAATGGATAAGGTGATGACAGTTTTCAACAGTGCACAGAGACTGGAAGTTGTTAGAACTTGTATCTCTTTCATATTTGAAAATAAAACTTTGGAGACTGAAAAGGTAATAAAATGCATTTATCATTTCCCTTTCAGATTTATACATTATGTTGCCACCTGAGCTTTCCGTTATTTCTATTCCTTATAAAATGATTTTTCATTGTTTTAATCTTTGTAAATGAATAGCATCTAAAATTTTAAATGTAAGCCAAGGGTAATTAGATAGCTACCAGAGAAATATTGGCAGTAATTTAAAAATCTTGTATTTGTATCTTTGATTTTAGAGAGCTTGATTATGATATGTCTTGGTGTGATTTTCTTTTGGGGTCTATCCTTCCTGGGGTTCTTTCAGCTTCTTGAATGTTTATCTTCTCATCCTTCAAGATGTTAGGAAAATTTTCTTCCAGGAGCTCTTCAACTATCTCTTCTGGTGGACTTCTGTGATTTTTCCCTGTTCTGGAATGCCAATAATTCTTAAGTTATTCCTCTCTTCATGTATCCAGCATGAATTTTAGACTCTCTTCAGATTTTTTAGTCCTTTTTTCTGCTTGCTCTCCTATCTTATCAGTATTGAGAGATTTGTCTTCCAGCTCACTGGATCTGGCTTCCGTCTCTTCCATTCTGTTCCTTTGCCCTTTCACTGTATTGTCCATTTCTGATATTTTATTGTTAATCATCTGGACTTCTTTTTGCAGGGTTTGGATTGTTTCCAAAGCCATATCAATTTTGTTTGATTGCTCCTGTAGCACTTTCCTGACTTCTTCCTTACTTTTCTCTACCACTTCTAGAAGCATTTGAATTGGTTTCCATATTATTCTTCTGAATTCCTTCTCAGGCAGATCAAGAGCCTGCTCTTCTCCTAGAAACTCTGTGTCTACTTCCAGCTCATTTGTCTCAGTTACTTTTTTCTGGTTTTGCACATATGTTGATATCTTTAATTCTGTTTTCTTGGGCATTTTCAATAGTTATGTGAGTTTTTAATGCTTAAATAAATGTATGTTGCTTTGTTGTTAAGCTTGCTGAGTGTCTCCTGGTGGATATGATCTAGAGATAGGCTTCCTTTTTCACGTGTAATGCCTAGCAGCTGGTTTTGGCTCTTGCCCAGATGGTGAGATACTACAGGTTATGCTGGTAGCTTGGCTATATGGGCACAGTTGCTGTCTCTTCTTGGGTAAGGTAGGAGGAGAAAGCTCACACCCCTGGCAGAAGAGTCAGGCCAAAAGGACCAAAGACAGAAACAATATAAAAGCAGAGACAGAAACCACCAATTAAAAACAAAAATAAAATTATGATTGACACTGTTCCCTGGCCTTTGCTGTGCAAAGGGTCCCACCTATGGGGCAGGTTCCCAGGGTCAAAACATCATAAGAAGCAGCCTGCAGGTTTCCTCTCTGTGCTGTTGGAAAACTATGGGTGCAATGCTGGACCCTTTTGGGGGTGTGCTCCCACCCACCTGAAGGCATCTGGGCTGTGCAATGAGGGTGCGTTCGGGGTGAAGAGGAGAGATATGTGAAAAATGAAAATTGGTCACACCTCTTCCTTCAGAGCGTTGCTCCGTGGCTTCTAGTGGTGGGTCGCTGTCTCCCAAAAAATTTAGATTTTTAATCATTCTTCATTAAACTCTATTTTATATTACTAAGAAAATATTTTGAATATAATTAAATTTGTTATAAGAAATCTAATCTACATATAATGACTATATAAATTATATACATATAATCTTGACTATATAATAAACTGTAGAAAGTATAATGTTGAACTTAAACATAAACTTTTCTTGGTAACTCACTCACTGTCTTAGTTCTGAACAGCTGTTGTAAGGGGCTGGTAAGTCATTTGCAAGTTTTTACCTTTATTTAAATAACCTATTAGGTTTTGAAAGGTTTTTTTTTGTTTCTTTTTTTTCTGTTGGTTGAAGTTACATGGCTTTTTGTTTGTTTTTTGCCTTACCTTCAACTTTCACATTCTGTTTCTTTTACCCAAACAATATCAGAGCCTCCTACTCTCAATCTTACTATTCTTTTGTTCTGCTTTTTAAGGTTTTTCAAGTTAAATATACTTTTATTGTATGAAAGTAAATGAAATAGGCCCTAAATAATGAACTGGAGTTACCCATATGAATGTTCTTATGATAAAGGAAATGAGTTTAAATGTATAAACATAGAGATCTTTATTTTTATTGCTCTGGTAGCCTAATGGTTACAAATCAGGCTGCTAAACTCAAGGCCAGCAGTTCGAAACTACCAGCCATTCCATAGGAGAAAGATGAGGCTTTCTGCTCCCATAAGATTTATAGCCTCAGAAACCCTGTGCAGGGTTACTATGAGTTGGAACTGACTCCATGGCACTTTAACAACAATCCTGGTGTGGTGTAGGGTAAGCACTCGACTGCAAGGTTGGTTTGAACCACAAGCTTGACAGTTCAAACTCACCAGCCACTCCTCGGAAACCCTATACAGGGTCTCTGTGAGTCAGAACTGACTTGATGGCACTTAACAAGTCATTTTTATTTCTCTTATTATAATATTAAAATGAGAAGAGATTATAAAATTTTGCAATCATAAATTAAAACGGAGTAGTGATTAAATAACTGACCAGTTTTAAAGTTATTAAATTGGTGTTTCTTGGCATTTTTAATTTCCTTTCTATTCTTACCATGAGGAATAACCAGTTACATAAAGAACGTATTTCTGTGTCTCGTTTTGGCTCATAACCTGAAGCAACAGTCAGTTTGTTAACCAAAATTTAATGAGGTTTTTTTTTTAAAAAAAGGTGAATTTCATGGTTTATTGATGAAGCACATAACTAATTTTATTTTTTATTGTGGTTGACAAAAATAATTGAAGTTTATTTATTTTATAATTGTTCTTAATATTAAATGAATTCTTATTTTGTCGTTTACTTATATAAATAACTTTACTAAATTCCTTGTAGAACACATTTGCATTTTCAATGTGATTTTTTTTTTTAAGTCATATTTTCCTAGAGGCTCATTTGATCACTTGTATCTCTCTTTTCCTCAGACCCTTCCTGCTGCACTAAGAGCCCTGAAAGGAAAGGCAGCCAGACAGTGTCTTACTGATGAGTTGGGTTTACATGTCCAGCAAAACCGAGCAATCTTAGACCATCAACAGTTTGACTACATAATAAGGATGATGAATTGCACTCTACAGGTAATTTTTGGTTCTTTCTTTTATTTGGTTATTGCTTTTGTTTGAAAATACTCTTCTCCACCCCCAGAAGATTCAATAACTACTGATCTGGGGCATTCTTGAACCTTCTACAACTAACTGGATGAAAAGCCAGTAGCCATACCATATCATTGTTTTTGTTTCCTTGTTAAGTGCCGTTGAGTCGTTTTCAACTCATAATGGTCCTGTATAGGGTTGCCAAGGAGTGGCTGGTGGGTTTGAACAGTTAAACTTGCTGTTAGCAGTCCAGTGCTTATCCTGCAGTGCCACACTAGGACTCCTTTCTATCATTACTTCTTGGCATCAATGTAAAGAGGATTTCGTTAGTTCTTTGTTTCTTTTGAAAAATACTGTATTATTGTCACTAGTTCTATATGTAAATTTGGAGTCCCAGTGTGACAGGACTGCCAACCACAAATTCAGCAGTTCAAACCTGCCAGCCACTCCAGAAACCCTATAAAGGGTTTCTATGGGTTGGAACAGACTCGAAGGCATTTAACAACAGCAACAATATATGTAAACTGTGAAAATGAAAAGTCATCTTTAAAACATTTACTTATATATCTGTATATGTTGTTGTTGTTTTGTGCCGTGGAGTCGGTTCCAATTTGTAGTGACCTTGTACAGGGTATCTGAGGCTGTAAATCTTTACGGGAGCTGAAAGCCTTATCTTTCTCCCACGGAACAGCTGGTAGTTTCAAACTGCTGACTGTGAGATAAGCAGCCCAGTTTGTAACCACTGTGCTACCAGAGCTCCTTATGTATCTGTATATAGACGTTAGTAAAAGACATTCTCTTAATTTCAGTCCGTTTTCAATTGTACTTTTAAAGCACTGGTTAATGAGTGGTGGACAGTCCAAATGATAAATGGGTCACTAGATTCTTTACTAAGCACTTTGTATCTTTAGAAGTATTTCCAGTGAACTTCAAATATGTTTATAATTTTACAGAGATAAACTTCTCACAAAATAATGAGGATCCCTTTTAAGAAACACAACTTATCTGGTTTCTCCATGCTTATCTCTTTGTTAGATTTTCTGTGATGCTGGAATTATAGTCACTACAGATAGTGCAAAAATCTTCCTCAAAACTTTTACACAAAGATGATTTGTAATGCAATACTAAGATTTCACAGAGCTTCTATGTGATTCTAGAGAAAGTAAACAAAATGTATGTTAAATACTGCTAAATTGGAAATCATAGTTTACAGGGTACGATAATGAAATTTGGAAGAGCCTTACCAACATACTCTTGGGGAAAAAAAGTGTGGAAATTTGCCTTTTCAGATACCAAAATTAATTTAAGATTATCGTAATTATGATAGGGTGCTTTTTGGTATATCCATAAGCAAGTTGACCAGTAGACCAGAGTAGAGTGCCCAGAAATACTCACACATATAAGAAAACATGATTTATGACAGAGTTGGCATTTCACATCATTGGCTAAAAGATAGGCAGTTCACTAAGTGGTACTGGGACAATTGGGTTATTATGTATACACATTGTGTCATGCACACAAAAAAATGTATACATATCTCATAACACAAACAAAAATTAATTCCACAAGGTATAAAGACTTAACATATGAAACACCAAACTATAAAACTTCTAGAACATGACACAAGACATCTTCATGACTTCCAGGTAGGGAAAGATTTGTTAAATCATAAATAATGCTGCAAACCTTAAGGTCAGTGGTTCGAAACTACCAGTCGCTCCGCGGAAGAAAGATGAGGCTTTCTACTCCCGTAAAGATTTACACCCTCGGAAACCCTGTACAGGGTCGCTATGGGTCGGAACCGACTCGACGGCACTTAACAACAACAACATAAAAGAAAAGATTGACATATTTGATTAAGTTACTCAGTGTTAACGTGAAGAGAGTAAAATGCAAACTTTCGAGAGAAAAGTACTCGCAGAGCTTGTAACTACAAACCGATTAATACTGAAATGATGAAAGAACTCGTACAAATCGATACAAAAAAATAAACATAATTTTTAAATGGGTAAAAGACTTAAGTATCTCAGAAAAGGACACCCATTTGTATATTAAGTGTTTAGAAAGATGATGTAAAAAGTAAAGATGAAATGTATCAATAATTAAAGAAACACAAGTTAAAATCACAATGAGATGGCGTTTTGCCATCTTGGTGTGACTCTTTTGCTTAATACACTGGGCTGCAAAGGCAGTTTGAAGCGCAGGTCAGCGGTTCAAGCTCACCAGCTGCTCCTAAGAAACCCTATACAGGGTCGCTGTGTGTCGGAACTGACACGATGGCATATAAAAACAACAACAATTTGGCAAGAGCTGTCCTGGTGTAGGATAAACAGTGGACTGCTAACCATAACAACCGTGGTTCAAACCCACCAGCTGTTCCTTGGAAACCTATATAGAATCACTGTGAGCTAGAAATGACCGGTCAGCGCTTAAAGCAACAAGAAGAGAGTTGGCAAGAAAGATGCACAGTGGCTCTGTATAATAACCATTGGACTGCAAACCACAAGATTGGTGGTTTGAGTCCACTAGCCACTCCACAGAAGAAAGATGAGGCTATCTGCTACCACAAAAAGCTACACTCAACAGCATTTAACAACAACATCTGGCAGGAAGTTAGCCCTGGTGGCACAGTGGTTAAAGGTGCACAGCTGCTAACCAAAAGGTCTGTGGTTCAAACTTGGTAGTGCTCTGTGGAAAAAGCCTTGGAAATCATATGGGGCACATCTGCTCTATCCTACAGGGTTGCTACGAGTCTAAATCAACTCAACTGCTGTGGGCTTGGTTTTGGTTTATTGTTTGATTTAATAATCTGATAAAAAGTATAATGCTGTCCAAGATTTGGAACAAATGAAATGTATAAACAGTAGTCCTGGTGTGGCATTGTGGGCTCATGCATCAGACTGCAGAGTCATTTGAATTGCAAGGTCGGCAGTTCAAGCTCACCAGCCACTTCTTGGAAACCCTATACAGGGTCACTACGGGTTGGAATCAACTCTACAACATTTAACAACAACAACTGGTAAATGTGTACATTGTTAACCACTATTAAAAATATTTTGTCATTAGTTTATAAAACTGAAAATGTACATATTCTGTGACCCACTTAGAGGTGCCTTGGCCTGCATACACTAGGAGACATACAAAAAGATATTTATAGCAGCCATTGTCTGAAATAGCAGAAAATTGAAAATCACTCATATGCCAACAAGCAATTGTTGCGTGTATTTGAGTCAGCTCTGACTCATAGCTGCCCTGAGTAGGGTTTCCAAAGCTGGAAGTCCATTGCAGGAGCTAAAGCCTCATTTTCTCCTGCAGAGCAGCTGCTGGCCTCGAAACCCTGACCTTTTTTCTTACATTAGGCGTATGGGTGTATGTTGTATCGTTATTCATGAGAACTAGTTGATATTGAGTTATAGCATCTGCCTCAAGGTGAGCCCATGTGTGTCAGAATAGAACTGTGCCCCACAGAGGTGTTTAATGGCTGGTTTTTCAGAAGCAGATTACCAGGTCTTTCTTCTAAGGTGCCTCAGTGTGTTGTGGTTGAAACCTTTCAACCTCTTGGTGAACAGTGAGCACATTAAACCATTTGCATTATCTCGGGCCTCCGTTATCATTGACAAATATTTTATGTATTACAGTTCTGAAATTAGAGTTTTTATAAGGCAGTTTATCTTCTCAAAATTCATTTCAGAGGATTTTTCTCATAACTTCTTAATATCTGCAGTGATTCAGTCTAGCATCTAAAATAGAATGACAAGCAGTTTTTACATTGCACAGGGAATTGATGAGATAGAATATGATTCACCTGTACTGCAAATATATTCTTACTTTAGAGTGTAAGAGAAAAGTTATAATAATACTCTATTATAGCAGAAATAAAAATGGACACAACCAAAATGTTAGCATTTGGATGGTAGTTAAAATAGTTGTGGTACAATTCTTCTTGGGAATACTGTTCATCTACGTAAAAGAGGCAAGGTGTGTATATGTGCTGATATGGAAAAACTTCCATTATATGTTATGGGTTGGGCAAGAAGGAAGTTAAAGTAAATACAATATGATTCTATGTCTTACTTTAAATTACATGTATGGTTATATGTGTGAGTGTGTGATATATGTATGTATATATGTATACCATAGTAAAATCCTGGAAGAATATTTACACTAAGTCCTTTATAGTAGGTTATCTCTGAGAAATAGTAGTAGAAGACTTTTTCCTTCCAATTTAAACCCCTAAATTGTATAAATATTTAGCAAGT